CCTCTTGGGAGACTTCAGCAACTGTCTTCCCCTTTCCTTTGCCTTTTCCTTTGGGCTTTCCCTTTTCGGGCTTCTTCTTGGGATCTCCTTTTGCCTTGGCTTTCGCCTTAGCATTGGGGGAATTGGGCTTCTTGCCTGAATCTCCCTCCTTATACCAGCAATCGCGGGCATAATGTCCCTTTCCACCACACACATAGCACTCCACATCCTTCTTGTTCTGGCTTGAAGCTCGTTTGCCAGCACCTTTGCTTGATTCGCGCTTGCCTTTCTGTTCCTTTCCTTTGCCTTTTGGTTTTCCTTCGTTGCCCTTTCCCTCATTGGGATCTCGAAAAGGTTGAAGCTTCGTGCCAGGGGCTTCTGACCACACCCTTTGTTGCACCTCAAACTTCAGAGCAACTCTTTTCAGATCTTCAAACGATTCACTATCGCCATGCAACAAGCAATGGCTTCTACACCGATCTGGCAAACTGCGCAGCAAAACCATAACCGAATCCGCTTCTTGGATCTGCAAACCACCAGCATGCACATCGGGATCAAGACTATTGAGCAGCTTGGTGTACTTGTTCAACTCATGCTCAATCTTTCGAATGATCTCCGGAATACTGGGTGCTTTCACGGTTTGATTCACCAGCTGCGACCGAAAGAACAGGCATTCAGCTCGCGACTTCAGGCAAAACTCCTTCGCCAGCAATCTCAAAGCCACAAAACCAGCTTGTTGATAAGTGCTCTCACTTTCAACATATGTCTGCAAAATCAGAGAACTCTTCTCATGATTTGCAAAAGTCTGTCGCAGGATGTGCATCAGCCTCGTCGACCTCTTCTGTTGCTCCACAGTAAGTCGATCCTGTTTCAGCCGAGACTCTTCTTGAGTCTTCACCGCATGCATGAGCTCATTGGGAAACACTTCTGAACCCAAACCAACCCAACTGGTCAGCTTCTCCATCCAGGTCAAGAATCCAAGAGCTTCAGAGATGCGATCCTTCCAAGACGAAAAGTCAATGGTCGGCAAACTGGGCAACCATTTGTCCGATCGAGCAAACACATCCCTTTCACTTTCTTGCTCCAGAGGTGGAGGTCTCAGTGGGGGACTTGGGCTCGCCATCCGAAAAAGCTGGGTCCCCTTCGCAGGAGTACCCACTGGCGATGCACCTTGACATCCCGAAGAAGAACTGGGCATGTTCTCAGGAACACCATCCTGAGGTAAGGGGGGATTCACCTGTTGCTGTTGCTGTGGCTGCTGTTGCTGATGCTGCTGTATCATCCACTGCTGATGCTGCTGCTGTTGCTGCACCATGGACGAAGTCATCGTTTGCATAAACTGCTGTTGCTGCACAACCAGTTGCTGCATCATGCTTTCCAATTCTCGCACTTGTCTCGTCAACCCTTGCACGTCGGGTGATGTTTGTGATGGTGTCACCACAGGTTGAGGAGGTCCAGTGGATAGTCCTGGTGGTAACGAAGGACTTCCTACCGCTTGCTGAGGCAAACCAGGGGGAAACGAAGGGCCTCCCATTGTCTGTTGGGGTGCTCCAGTAGCTACCCCATGAGGGCTTCTGGCGGGAGTTCGACCTCTGGGCACTGGGCCATACACAGGTTGGCTTCCTTGTGCCAAACCTTGCACCCACAGTGGGTTGGGATTTCCCAAACCCGGAAAAGGGTCCAGCATCCATGATGGGCACAGAGCTTCCACGCTCTCGTCCACCTCTTGGACTCCTCACATGAGCTCCACTGGTATGTCGTGGGGGTGTATTCAACATAGTTCCTAAACTCAAGCTCCAGCCTGCAGTCTCTCCACAACGTCTTCTGGCGAAAACTCTCACCAACACCAGATGGTCCAGGCTCCTGAAGAACCTAAGTTCTACTCTACCAAGCGTATTCCTCCAAGATCGGTCACAACCAATCCAGTTCCAGACAAACCACCTTGCCCGGGCTCCAAAGTGTCTTAACAGCCGCTGAACCAACTGCTTCCAAGCCTGATGAGTCCGGATCCGCCTCCTCACAGGGTAGGCTTCCCGGTACTCACTTACACGGTCCGAGTACAAGAGATTCCGGTCCACTGGCAGTCTGGACTCCAAATCCAAACTTGCCTTCAGGCACTCACAGAGTCCTGACAGACAACTAAAGACCATACACGGGCTCGTACCACGGCACAAGCTCCGCTACCACGTGAAAAAAACGAAGGTCCCTCGGTACCTTTTCCCTTGAAGCACGAACCCTGACCTCTCACACAAATGCGGACGGGGGGAGGCTTAAGGGAGGGGGCTAAGGGGGCTTAAAGGGGGGACTTAAGGGGGGGGCTTAAGGGGGGGCTTAAAGGGAGCTCAAAGGGGGCTTCAAGGGGGGCTTAAAGGGGGGCTTAAAGGGCTCAAACGGGGGGGAAGGGGGGTTTAAAAGGGGGCTTAAAGGGGGGCTTCAAGGGCTTTAAAGGGGGCTTAAAGGGTTTAAGGGGGGGGGGGCTTCAAGGGGGGCTTAAAAGGGGGCTAGCGAGGCTTAAGGGGGAGGGCTTAAGGGGCTGAAAAAAGAGTGGCTTAAGGGCGACTCTAAACATTACTTTTTCTTGAAGATGAGAGAGAAGGGATTTATTCTAAATTCCACCCCCCTCGAATCTTGTTTTGTTTTTTGGATTTCGTTCTTCGAAACTAGAGAAGTGAGACTCTAAAAGAGAGAGAAAGGAATTTATTCTAAATTCCACCCCCCTCGAATCTTGTTTTTTTTTTGTGTTTTTTTTGGATTTCATGATTCGAAACCAGAGAAGTGAGACTCTAAACATACATTTCCCTTTACGAACGAAAGAAGGGAATGTATTCTAAATTCCACCCCCCTCGAATCTTGTTATACATTTTGTGTTTGTTTTTGGATGTCATTCTTCGAAACCAGAGAAGTGAGACTCTGAACATACATTTCCCTTTACGAAAAGAAAGAAGGGAATGTATTCTAAATTCCACCCCCTTCGAATCTTGTTTTGTTTTTTGGGTTTCATTCTTCGAAACCAAAGAAGTGAGACTCTTTTTAAAGGGGAGCTCAAGGGTAATTCCACCCCGCTCGCTTCTTCTTTTGTTTTTTTTGTGTTCATTACTCGAGTTTCAAGGAGCAGAGAGTTCATAGCAGTGACGTGGCGCGGGGCTAAGCCGAGAACCCCATGTTTTGTTTTAGGGATGATTCAGATTCATATGCTTCCACGCAAGCTTGCCCGGCAGAAAAAAAGCGGGGGGGTTGGGGGGGGGGCGCAGCCCCCCCATTTGCATAGCAGTGACGTGGCGCGGGGCTAAGTCGAGAACCCCATGTTTTGTTTTGTTTTGTTTTGTTTTGGACATGATTCCTATGCTTCCACGCGAGTTTGCCCGGCTTAAACAAGCGGGGGGGTTGGGGGGGGCGCAGCCCCCCCCATTTGCAAACACGATGCTCGCATTAGGCCTCTTAAACTGCTGCCTAAATCCTCCACCGAAGGCCCAGCAGGTATCAAGCCTCTTAGACGTCTTAAACTGCTGCCCGAACCCATTACGCCTTTTAAACTGCTGCCCAAACCCTCCACAAAAGGCCCAGCAAGTATCAGGCCTCTTAAACTGCTGCCTAAACCCTCCGCAAAAGGCCCAGCAAGTATTACGCCTTTTAAACTGCTGCCCAAACCCTCCAAAAAAGGCCCAGCAAATATTAGGCCTCTTAAACTGCTGCCTAAACCCTCCGCAGAAGGCCCAGCAAGTATTACGCCTCTTAACTTGCTGCCCAAAGGCCCAGCAAGTATTAGGCCTCTTAAACTGCTGCCTAAACCCTCCACAGAGGGGGGGGCTTGGTTGCGGCTTCAGGGGGGAACTTTAGGGGGGGCTTTAAGGGGGCTTAAAAAAAGGGGCTTAAAGGGGGAGCTTTAAGCCCCTTAAAACGGGGGGGCCTTCAAGGGGGCTCTAAGGGGGCTTTTTAAAGGGGGGCTTAAAGGGGGGCTTAAAGGGGGGTTTAGGGGGGCTTAAAGGGGGGCTTAAAGGGGAAAAAGGGGGCTTAATTAAAAAGGGGCTTAAAGGGGGGCTTAAAGGGGGCTTAAAGGGGGGGTTTCAAGGGGGCTTTAAAAGATTAAGGGGGGGCTTAAAGGGGGGGCTTAAGGGGGGGGGGGGGCTTAAGGGGGGGCTTAAGGGGGGGCTTAAGGGGGGGCTTAAGGGGGGCTTAAGGGGGGGCTTAAGGGCTTTCACCCTTTCCCCCCCCCCCCCGAAGGGACCCCCTTTGCAGGGACCCCTTTGAAGGGGGGCTTAAGGGGGGCTTAAAGGGGGGCTTAAAGGGGGGCTTAAGCCCCCCTTTGCCCAAAGGGGGGGGGCCCATCCTCTGTGGTTTGTATGGGCAACGCCGCCCGGAGTGCAAACATAACGTGCGTGCGGCCGTTCAGTATGGACGTTTTTTGAGCTCGGGCCTTCTCTATTTCTCCCCAAAGCGTTTACGGATACTTTCAGTCTTTTCTTGCTTCAGCATTGAACGTTTAGCGTGATCTTTAGGGTTTCGGGTGCAGGCCGGTTTTTGAGGCAAACTTGTGCTTCGGGTGTAGGAATAGAAAGCGGGGACGCGAACTACTATCCTGGTAGTGCAGGCGTGGCCTGTGCAGTGTTTTGGCTGGCAGAGCGCTGCGTGTACAGTCCGTTTGGCCGTCTGCCCTGAACACGCATGGCAGAGGATGCTGAAGATGCGGTTGCTGGGGAGCGGGGCAATGCTGACGCCAATGCAAGCGGCGGCGGCGGCGGTGGCCCTGCTGCGGTACCAGCTGCGGCAGAGGACAGCGTCTGCTGCATTTACCCTTGATGTCTTGACATGGACGGTTACTCGTGCGTGTGTGTGAGGTTTGTGTACACATGTGAAGGACCCGTACTGGCAGAGATTGCGTGAGCTCACCAGACACATGAAATCTGTGAAGAAAGCTTTGTCCCGGTGTAGAGCACGAGCTGCCTCTCTGTGTCTGACGGCGCGAGAAGCCATGATCCTGTTGGCTGTGTATCTTATCGCGTTTCAGCCTGGGTGCTGTTGGA